TCGGCTCGGAAGGGCTTTCTGACCCCCAGGCGGAAGCCACATTTAAAGCCCTGTTGGAGTTTGGCCATTCGTGCAGACTGGTACAGAAGAGTGACCCGGGGTGACAGGAGGGCCGGGTTGATCTGGATCCGAAACACCTGGCGTTTGTGGCATCGACTGGCCCGGATCTCTCCAGAGGGCAAGCAAGCTGCTCCTGGCAAGCTGGATAGAGAAGCGGTAAGGAGGGAGGTAACTTAGCCTCAGTAGAGAGGGGGGGGTAGTGGCTCTAAGGGGTTTGAGCAGTTAGACATGTAGGTCCTGAGGGGCGGAGACCGCCAGGTGGTCAGGAGGGTTGGGGTAGTTCCAGATTCCTGTTGTTTGTAAGGAGTTTAGACCTTGTGGATTCCGCTCTCTCTTTTTCTTTCTTTTTCTTTCCTTTTTCTGTCTACAAACCAGGGCATCTCGGTTCGTGGTTCAAACCGCAGGATGTCGCAGTGGGGAGGAGGGTGGAGAGTGCCAGTGGTCATGGGGAACTCAGGTTCCAATCGGCCGTCCAAGGCCAGTGTCAGGCCGTCCCAGGCCTGTGAATTAGGATTAATAGTAGGTTAGACGGCAGGTTAGGGCACAAGGAGGTTAAGTTGTAGCGACGCTTAAGACTTAAGGAGGAGCTAAGTAAAGGGATCTGATTTTTTGTGCAGAGCATCTAGTACAGGGTTTCCGCCTGCTTAAGTGAAACTGGGTAATGCTCCCGGGATAACTCCGGGTCAAATTGTGAGATCCTCGGCCTCAGCTTCATTGTTTTTGTAATGAATTAAATGACGTTTGTGGGGGGGGGGGGGGGGTTGGAAGGTCACCCCCTGTTTCGGTTTTTCCTCCAAACAAACAACAAAGAAGTTCCCTCCTGTTTGTAACTTCGTAGGCAGAATCTCAGACAAAGAAATTGGATCACCGGCTCCCCCATCTCGCCGCCCCCCCAAAAATACTGATTGAACCAACGGGGGCCTAACTCAGTTGGTACCCTAATTTCTTTTACTGGAATAAACCGACAAAAGATACACCAACAAACTGATGAAATACAGATCCAATCCAGCGGCCTAGCTCAGTTGGTTAGGCATGCAAGTGGCATTCAGGAGGTTGTGGGCTGTCTCTTATACACATCTAGATGTGTATAAGGTCTCGGTCTTTGTGTTAGCCAGACCCCCACTGGCGGCCCCAACCCTATACCCTAACCATTAGGGGAAAGGGGCATTGTGTTAGCCAGACCCCCACTGGCGGCCCCAACCCTATACCCTAACCATTAGGGGAAAGGGGCAACATGAAATCYCCCCTTCACAAAGAGAGGAAAACTATGCTTGCAGGGGTCCCCTCTAGATAGTCTTAGGAGTAGGTAGTGGAAGGTTAACAAAAACAGAAGTTGAGAGAAGAATATAGACAGTTGTGATCACCGCAATATAAAAAGAAAAAATAAAAAAAATACAGATCCAAGTGGGAATCCAGATGCAACCAGATGAGCAGGATAAAATAATTCGGAATTACCCAGGCTACGTCAGTTCAATGTTGATACCTCAAGGCTGTCGCACTCTAAAAAAAAAAAAAAAAAAACCTGATTGATCATTAGCCATAACTCTGAAAAATGGACTTTGCCGCAGTCTAAAAAATTAGTAAAAATCTATATCCGATGTTTGTAAATAGATGCATCAGACCTGGTTGGCTGAAAGTCCATGTGATACAACTTTATGTATTCTCAAGTCATTTGTGTGTGGACGTGTGTGAATGTGTGTTTGAGAGCAGCTTGTGTGTCTCTGTGCAAGTGTATATGCCTTTGAAAGAAGGTTGTGTGTGTGTGTGCGTGTGCGCAACAGAGGGAGTTCGCCTGTTCTCCAAGTTCATGTGTGTGCCGACGTGTGGACATGTCTGTGTGTGTTAGTCAAGATCCCCAAACTCTCTCTCTCTCTCTCTCTCTCTCTCTCTCTCTCTCTCTCTCTCTCTCTCTCTCCATCTTCATACAATCACAAATCATCCATAAACAAGAAAAAGTATAGATAAGCAATATAATAGAAGGTGCAAGGATCCCCACGTCTGTGTGGTTGAGCGGGAAGTGCCCACACACACACACCCTCCCGAAATCATCCATAAACAAGAAAAAGTATAGATAAGCAATATAATAGAAGGTGCAAGGACTGTCTCTTATACACATCTAGATGTGTATAAGAGACAGCACACACACACACACACACACACACACACACACACACACACACACACACACACACACATCTTCATACAATCACAAATCATCCATAAACAAGAAAAAGTATAGATAAGCAATATAATAGAAGGTGCAAGGATCCCCACGTCTGTGTGGTTGAGCGGGAAGTGCCCACACACACACACCCTGCCGCCGAAGTGGCACGCGTGCACAAATATGTATATATAGTTATTACAATCCGTAAGGTAAAGGGCAGAGGACAACATACCTAACACAGAACGCTCCACCAGAAGGAAAGCACCGACCAGAGGCAGCATGGCCCGGAAAAACTTGGGAGGGCCCTCTGAGTCAGCCCACAAGCACAGCAGCACTGGCACTCCTATTCCTCCCAATACAACACCACACTCATGCCACCACTACCTCTATCACTCCATCATGGCTAAACAGTCCCCATCTGCTATCTAGCCTCTGGAGTGTATAGTGTAGTACCTTAATCCCAAAGACCACAAGATCTTCACGCGACACCAGGAGGGCTACTGCTTAAAACACCCCTGGAAGTCCCCGTTTCTTCCATGTGCTCCGAAAGAGCAGCCCATGGGAACGCCAAGACACTGTGGCCAGAACTCCAAGCATATATATTCACAGAATCTCCACGCGACACACCACGAGCACTACTGCTTGAACCATCATGGAAGCACCGCCATCTTCCATGTGGGCAGCCCGCGGGAGTGACACCCACAGCAAAGACTCTCTGAGCCTCCTCGCGAAGATATCGTGACCATGACTCCAAACAAAAATTCCCGCCCAAAAAGTATAAGGCCACCCACCAACATGCCTTCATCACGAGACAGCCCATGCTCTACAGCAGAGCAAAGAATTAGGCCATGTACGAACAAAGAACCAACAAATTATCCGACCCCAAAAAGGAATAGCTTGCTAGTACGAGCCGAATCCTAGCCACTCAAAACAGAGCTACCGTCTTGACCCAAATAGAACGCCCGGTCAATATAGCTGTATTTGAGGTAGTATTCAGTCTAGATACAGCGATAAAGACCAGGCGTTCTATTCGGATGAAGACGGTAGCAAGATCCTATGTGTGTATATGTATCTTAGAGCGAAGTTCATGCATGCATGTGTTGGACTCTCACCCCAACAACCCCTGTCCACCCAGATAAGTAGATCAAAAATTAAACCACCCTACCTGACATGACAGTCTTTCTATGAAGATATATATTTGATGTTTTGAGTGATTGTCATCGTTTGATAATAATAATAATGATTTGAAGAAACGGCCGTTTCACTGTTGTATTCTGAGAGGTGCAAGCTCCACCACATGTGTACTTAAGCATGGAATGTGTGTGTGTGTGTGTGTGTGTGTGTGTGTGTGTGTGTGTGTGTGTGTGTGTGTGTGTGTGTGTGTGTGTGCATTTTTGAAGCATATAACACATGTTTGCTGTATAGTTTGTAGGTGAATGTGTGTGTGTGTGTGCATTTTTTAAAGCATATAACACTCATGTTTGCGGTATAGTTTGTAGGTGAATGTGTGTGTGTGTGTGTGCACATTTTTAAAGCATATAACACTCATATGTGTTGTATAGTTTGTATAGTTTAAAGCATATAACACGCCATAACTGTACCTGACTTTTCTGATGAGTTCAAGAAACAGTCCCCATCACAGCGCTTTCGCATTCTGTGACGCGTTTCATTTTGTTCACTGAGTTGTTATAATTTAGTATTCAAGTTCACAACTCCACAAATGACAGGCGACTGCTACGAAGCGTTTCGGTGGGCTTTTACCACAGGAGATCGAACCTGGGCATTCTGCCAGGAATGCATTCGAATGATGGATGGGCAAGCATTTATTCACCGCCAGCTGGCATTCCTGGCAGACTGTCTAGTTCAGAACACTGACGATAACGGAAGTCAGTCGAGGAAACTACCGTCTTCACCCGAATATAACGCCCGGTCATTATAGCCGTATTTGGGGCCATTTTCTGTCCAGATGCAGCGATTACGACCGGGCGTTCTATTCGGGTGAAGACGGTAGCCCATCATTCCTCTGTGTGTGTTGTCATATTCGCTATACACTCAAAAAAAACATGACAGTGCTGAACAGACTGTTTCGTCGGACTTTCACCGACTCATCAGGAGGTTGAAACCCGACAGTCTGCCCAGGATTCATTTGAATTTGACTGATGGATAAGCACTCACCACATTGCCCAGAGTCGTGATACCCCTGAGAGAGAAAAGTGGTCGACTTTACTCAACACCACCACCAACCTTGCAATCCTAGCAGGTCTGAACCTGGTCCAAATCCTTGATAAGAACAGTTACCGTAGTAAGTCTGAGAAACTAATCTGACCCAGTCATAAAATAAAACCCACTGTGTGTGTGTGTGTGCATGTGCTGTTATGTTCACTACACAACTCTACCAGAAAATCACAAATGTGTCAGCCTGTCTGTGTGCATTTGAAAGAGAGACAGATATAAGCAGAAAGATAGAAACAGAGGGATAAACATTTACAGCTCCTCTTGGAGGACATAGGCTGTTAATTGGTCGTGTCCATCATTCCATACAAAAACTTTAGATACCCACTCTGAGAGAGAGAGAGAGAGAGAGAGAGAGAGAGAGAGAGAGAGAGAGAGAGAGAGTCCTTGTCAAACCTTTTCCTTCTGGTTGAAATTATGCAGAACGAGGAGAAGACACTGGAGAAAGAGAGAAACAGGCATGGAGAGAGAGAGAGAGAGAGAGAGAGAGAGAGAGAGAGAGAGAGAGAGAGAGGGAGAAAGAGAGGGAGAAAGAGAGTGTTACCATTCTGGTTTGTTGGACGTGTCAACGAGTATCGGATTGTACTTGATTCCCTTCTCCTCTAAGGTCATCGTCACTCGCTGTGAAAAGGGACCTGCAACAGAAGAGCATGAACTTTTTTATTGAAAAAAAAAAAAAAAACATTTTTATTTCCTTTATACAGTGATAAAATACAAAGGAACAAAAAGAAAGAGACACAAAGAGAGAAATCACAAGAGCATGAACATTCTTTTTCAATTTTTTTTTTCCTTTTTATTTTTGCAATAACTCGGCTCAAATCTGGATAAGCTGTGGGCTCTAGGTCGTCACTTTTGCTCAGTGGCCCCACAAAGGGGTCAAAAGTCACGCACTACGTCTAAGAAGAGCCTGGACAAAGGCCGAAGTGAGGCCAAGGGGTACCCAGGGGAGGGCCAAAATCAGCATTCAGAGGCCCCTATGAGGAACAGTGGACATTGATAAAGTCAACGGTCAACCCTAGCACCGAAACCCATGCCCAGAGGTCAAGTCAACCCGCTGGTCAGCCTCAGCCATAGATCACATGCGCATTATTGGTTGGCTGCAGGTATATCCAGAAGAATCCGGCCCAAGTGGGACACATGGGAAATCTGCAACTGCACAGCATCCAGGCCATTGGCTTCCGATCGATCTGGGCCGTCAACCCCAGGAGACCAGACGCTGGTCAACGTGAGTCAACAGTATAAGTGGACCCAGCCCCTGGTTGGAGAGCAATCAGTCTTGTGCACTCTGCCTGGCGCTGGCTTGTTGCTGGTGCGACAACGGAAGGCCAAAAGTTGAGGCTGTATACCGAACCGCATATTTGTTTCACAAGCTTGGTGAAAGTGCAAAAAAGCTGGGTGAAAGTGCGAAAGTATTGGAGTACACGGCCCCAGCCTTGCAGTCTGAAATATAGCGAGCCGCATATTTGTTTCACAAGCTGGGTGAAAGTGCGAGAGTACTTGAGTACACGGCCCCGGCCTTGCAGTCTAAAATTTGTCGCCACAAGAAAACGAGGCCCAATCGTCAAACACTGGGCCTGACGTTGATAAACTGGATCGGTGGTCGAGTTTTTGTTGCGCGCTTCCAGAATTCAAGGTGTCAGGCGCGCAGCCCAGGTGCAATGGCCTGCTTCAGCTAAGCGGCCTAGACCTGCAGGGGCAGCAAGCTGGGCTAAGTACCGGTGGTTTAAGACTTGCAACGGCCTGCTTCAGCTACGCGCCTAGACCTAGACCTGCGGGGACGGGACCCTGACCCCTCTGTGAATTTCAAAACACACCTGCGGGGAACGAACCCTTCTGTGGATTTCAAAAATTTCAAAACCCCAACACCACCGTGAACTCCCTAAAAATAACAACACAACAACATTTCCCGAATCCCGATCAATAAGCCGCAGAGAACTACAAAAGGCAACCAACCACCTAAGGTGCAGCATCCTGGCTGTGAGCAAGACACTCCCATACATACTTTGGGTCTGGCTCCACTACTCTAGAGTCTGACACTCAGACATTGGGTCTCCGCTCCGCTATTCTAGGCTCTCCAAATTTCCAGCATCCGGCATGGCTCCTGAGTCTACTAGGGCCCCTACGCCTGTGAGGGAGGTGTCTAGCGAAACTCTAACACAAGCAGTTTCGGGACAGCTGTCTAGACACCGGCCTACAACCTCTGCCATAGGCACATGTGGTGTGGGAGTCTCCTGCCGGCTAGCGCTATGTTCCCCACATGGCCTAATGGTAGGGGCAGTTGCTACCCCTACCGGCGGCTGCCTTTTGGCCCTTGGGCAGCCGTTCAGGTCTCTCTATACTTAGGACAATATTTGATGATATGGCCCGGGTCACCGCAGAAAATGCACTGGCCCCGGTCCAATCGTTGTTGCCATAAAG